TTTCTTTCATCTTACAAAGAAAAGGTTAGGATCTCAGAAAAACTGTCATATGAGCAATGTTTTGCTTGGACTCGTCCGAATTATGACCATCCTGAAAGAAAGTATAACAGTCAAAACCATCAAATATTGCTAAGATTGTTCCGACAAGGGTTACAGATTGACCACCTCGAGCCACCTACAATACACTCAAATTAGGGTGAAAACTCATTAGTCTTGGGAAAGAATTTTCAAAAAAAATACTACCTTAAAGGGGCAGAAAACTATACATCATACTTTAAAAATCATTTCTTTCATCTTACAAAGAAAAGGTTAGGATCTCAGAAAAACTGTCATATGAGCAATGTTTTGCTTGGATTCGTACGAATTATGACCATCCTGAAAGAAAGTATAACAGTCAAAACCATCAAATATTGCTAAGATTGTTCCGACAAGGGTTACAGATTGACCACCTCGAGCCACCTACAATACACTCAAATTAGGGTGAAAACTCATTACTCTTGGGAAAGAATTTTCAGAAAAAATACTACCTTAAAGGGGCAGAAAACTATATAAACATACATGCAGTTGACCACATATGGATTGGAGCTCCTAAGATGTAAATGGAATTTAGTGAGTAAATTTTCTAAGCTACTTTTCCAAACTTATACAATTAAAACAGTCGAAGAATTACATGGCCCACCATAATACATATGAAAATACTATACCTTGTACAGGTCTTTGTTTTAAGCCTCTGCATATGCTAGTTCTTGCTTTAGCTGGACATACAACAATGTCTCATTGTGAAGTGGTGATTCTAGTTCTTCATTCTCAGCCTTGAGCATTGCTAGAGTGTGCTCACCAGTATCGTATCCTTTGGATTTCTGCATACACTCTAAACATAAGTGAAATAAATGAACCGGACGATACAGAAAATGAGAATCTAAACACATTAAATCTTCAATGTCAGATATATGAAACAGAAGCATTCAAGACATTGTGAGTATGTGTTCTATATCAGAAGATTTCGAGTTCAACCACAGATTTCCAATAAAGCTTAAATGGAATTGATATTGAATATATTACATACCACAGATTTCGGGTCTCGAGTGTTCTCCTTTCCAGGATCACGCAAAGAAACTAAACTTTCTCGGCTAGTGAAATGTCTTCGAGGAAAATCTGGAAGTTTTTTTTTATAAGAAAAAATCTGGAAGTTAATAAAAACAAACAAAACATCAGTACGTCAGAACCATAACTGGCACTGTTTGTTTCCTAGTAAAATCTCTATTGCAACTCCTCTAACTATGATTCTTGCTAACTTCCTATTAGAACTCAATTAAATTTGAAACAACTATCACGGTTCAAAATTTGTATTTTCTAAACATGCAGGGGGCCCTTGGTTAAATGGGAAAACTGCAAGCTCAATCCATCCCAAAATCAAAATTTAAAACTTTAAGACCTTCTTGTAACTCTCCTTGTTAAATGAAAAATTTGTAATTTTAGCCCCTTTAAAATTAACAACTCAAATCAAGTCTTTTCAAATTTCAACTTGGTTAAATGGAAAAATTATATATTTAGACCCTCTCAAATGAAAAAAATTAACTACGCTCTTAGTAATGCAAAACTATTTTCACTTAAAAGTAATGCTAAACCATCGAAACATAAGAAAGTTTCGAACTTCAAATCTGGCCATCATAGAAACTATTAGATATAGGTTCACATCATTATCTTAGAAATAATCTTAGTCATATAGTCTAGGATTTCGTGCAAATGTATAACTAAACTAAATACTACTTTACACAATTCAATCTATTTATGTAACAATAGAACTAGAAGCTCAACAAGAAAGCGATAAATTTTTAAGTAAGAAGTAACATTTACGACAAACTATTTACTTAATCAGACATTGTTGACAAAAGTTTATATCTTATGAAAGAACATTTGAAAGGATATTCTTGGTGATATTGGAATCAAACATTATTTGAAAACCTAGATTGCTTCAAACAAAATTTCGTCAACACAAATAAAAAAAATCCAACAAAAAAGGGTCCAAATATAACTCACAATTTGTTGACGAAGATTTTGCACCTATAATAATCAAAGAAATCGTTATCAAACACTTAAAATAAAGGAAATTAGAAAACCAAAGCAATTGATTACTGATTTACATTCATCGGAGAATATTATCCGACAAAGCCAACCTTAACAGTTCAAAATGAATCAAAATCGGCAGTGATGCTGCCATCATGGTAATAGCATAAACATCATACTTTAAAAGCAGTTCTTTCATCTTACAAAGAAAAGGTTAGGAACTCACAAAAACAGTCAGTGTTTTGTTTTGACTCGTCCAAATTATGACCATCCTGAAAGAAAGTATAACAGTCAAACCCACCAAATATTGCTAAGATTGTTCCTACAAGAATCTTAACACTAGCGCTAAAAAAATGCCTGCAAACAAGAAATAAACCAAGGAAATAATTGATCAAGTCATATCTGTTAAAAGAAAAATAGTCAATCAAAGTGAAATGATTTTGTACATTACTAAAACTCATAAAATAAACAGCCAAAGTATCAATAAATATCACTGCGCCTAACTTTTTTTGGTTTGTCCTGAGCATTGATGATGAAGTCATTGGCTAAGAAAAAAATCATAATCAAACAACACAGATCAAATGAGCTTACAGAAATAAATAAGATCATATTCTACAGACTCCGACTGATATTAAATAATTGGTAAACCTTAATATCTCACTGCATATGATATGAAATAACGAGTTCATCAGACCAATTATAAAACAAAATACACTGAGGAAAGGGTTACGCATCTCCTGTTTCAAAATTCAAGATCTTGAATACTTCTTTAATAAGAAACAAGAAATATTAAACAATAGTTCGGGTCATAAAAATAGCATGCATTACACCTACCGACTAAAACCATATATCAAACATACCAAGAATTTAAGTCACCATTGGCTAAGAAAAACCTCATAAACAAACAACATAGATCAAATGAGCTTACAAACCTGCCACTAAATAACAAGAAACTGAACATAATCAGAACAAGTAAAGCCAGAGACAGAAACCAGACTTGGCTGTGGAAAATGACAAAACTTTTGCCACCCATTTTGCTTGTAATTCCATCATTCTAAACACTATTTCCTGATCGTTTCAACGTCGATTTCTAGTTCAGAAACACTTAATACCCTCGGAAATACTAGATTCAAGTGGAATACAAAGGTTTACCTGTGATGTAGTCCCACAAAAGAAAGCCAGGGGGCTAGGTAAATACATGTTTATAAAGAGGTCCAACATGATCTTCGTTCACATTAACTACTCCATTTGATTTGAGAAACGGGTAACGGTATTGTACCTGCAAGAGATTCTTTCCCACCTCAAGTATTGAAAAAAATGTATTTGAATCTAAAAGGACAAAATATTTCAGGAAATACCCAGTGCAATGAATAATGACATTTGCATCAACAATTGATCCATCTTGGAATTCCACCTTACCATCTTTATGTGCTCATTCAATCTGCAAGAAAACAAAAAGCCAGACTATTAAGAAAAAGATGACCACCTTAAAAGTTAACTTTATAAACTAACTTAATTGATAGAATGACTAAGAAACCATTGAATGCAGACAAAGATTATAATGTTTTTCCGATGATTGCCACTACCCGTCGTCAAATCATTGTAACAATTGTGTTGAGTTGTATGGGTTGATGATACTGAAACTTCAAGAATCTGTTACTATGTTTGCCGAACCATGTACAAGACTGATATGGATTTGGTTCAAAATCAAATCATAATTCAAAACCAAAAACAGATGCTCGTGAGACCCCCTATAAATCACCTAGATTGCTTCAAACAAAAATTTCGTCAACACAAATAAAAAAAATCCAACAAGAAAGGGTCCAAATATAACTCACAATTTGTTGACGAAGATTTTGCACCTATAAAAATCAAAGAAATCGTTATCAAACACCTATAACAAAGGAAATTAGAAAACCAAAGCAACTGATTACTGATTTACATCCATCGGAGAGTATTATCCGACAAGGGCAATCTTAACTGTTCAAAATCAATAAAAATCGGCAGTGTTTTGTTTTGAAAGAAAGTATAACAGTCAAACCCACCAAATATTGCTAAGATTGTTCCTACAAGAATCTTAACACTAGCGCTACAAAAATGCCTGCAAACAAGAAATAAACCAATGAAATAATTGATCAAGTCATATCTGTTAAAAGGAAAAATAGTCAATCGAAGTGAAATGATTTTGTACATTACTAAAACTCATAAAATAAACATCCAAAGTATCAATAAATATCACTGCACCTAACATTTTGTGGTTTGTCCTGAGCATTGATGATGAAGTCATTGGCAAAGAAAAACATCATAATCAAACAACACAGATCAAATGAGCTTACAGTAATAAATAAGATCATATTCTACAGGATCTGACTGACATTAAATGATTGGTAAACCTTAATATTTCACTGCAAATGATATGAAATAACGAGTTGATCAGACCAGTTATAAAACAAAATACACTGAGGAAAGGGTTACACATCTCCCATTTCAAAATTCAAGATCTTGAATACTTCTTTAATAAGAAAAAAAGAAATATTAAACAATAGTTCGGGTCATAAAAACAGCATGCATTACACCTACCAACTAAAACCATATATCAAACATACCAAGAATTACAAAGTCACCATTGGCTAATAAAAACCTCATAATCAAACAACATAGATCAAATGAGCTTAAAAACCTGCCAAATATCAAGAAACTGAACAAAATCAGTACAAGTAAAGCCAGAGACAGAAACCAGACTTGGCTGGGAAAATGACAAAACTTTTGTCACCCATTTTGCTTGTAATTCCATCATTCTAAACACTATTGCCTGATCGAGTCAACGTCGATTTCTAGTTCAGAAACACTTAATACCCTCGGAAATACTAGATTCAAGTGGAATACAAAGGTTTACCTGTGATGTAGTCCCACAAAAGAAAGCTAGGGGGCTAGGCAAATACATGTTTATAAAGAGGTCCAACATGATCTTCGTTCACATTAACTACTCCATTTGATTTGAGAAACGGGTAATGGTATTTGTACCTGCAAGAGATTCTTTCCCACCTCAAGTATTGAAAAAATGTATTTGAATCTAAAAGGACAAAATATTTCAGGAAATACCCAGTGCAATGAATAATGGCATCTGCATCAACAATTGATCCATCTTGGAATTCCACCTTACCATCTTTATGTGCTCATTCAATCTGCAGGAAAAAAAAGGTAGACTATTAAGAAAAAGATGACCATCTTAAAAGTTAACTTTATAAACTAACTTAATTGATAGAATGACTAAGAAACCATTGAATGCTGGCAATGATTATCATGTTTTTCTGATGATCGCCACTACCCGTCGTCAAATCATTGTAGCAATTGTGTTGAGTTGTATGGGTTGATGATACTGAAACTTCAAGAATCCGTTACTATGTTTACCGAAACATGTAGAAGAATGATATGGATTTGGTTCAAAATCAAATCATAATTCAAAACCAAAAACAGATGCTTGTGAGACCCCCTATAAATCACCTAGACTGCTTCAAACAAAATTTCGTCAACACAAATAAAAAAATCCAACAAGAAAGGGTCCAAATATAACTCACAATTTGTTGACAAAGATTTTGCACCTATAAAAATCAAAGAAATCGCTATCAAACTCTTATAATAAAGGAAATTAGAAAACCAAAGCAACTGATTACTGATTTACATCCATCGGAGAGTATTATCCGACAAGGGCAATCTTAACAGTTCAAAATGATTCAAATCCTTGTAGCAATTGTGTTGAGTTGTATGGGTTGATGTACTGAAACTTCAAGAATCTGTTACTATGTTTGCCGAACCATGTAGAAGACTGATATGGATTTGGTTCAAAATCAAATCATAATTCAAAACCAAAAACAGATGCTCGTGAAACCTCCTATAAATCACCTAGATTGCTTCAAACAAAATTTCGTCAACACAAATAAAAAAATCCAACAAGAAAGGGTCCAAAATTCACAATTTGTTGACGAAGATTTTGCACCTATAAAAATCAAAGAAATCGTTATCAAACTCTTATAATAAAGGAAATTAGAAAACCAAAGCAACTGATTACTGATTTACATCCATCGGAGAGTATTATCCGACAAGGGAAATCTTAACAGTTCAAAATGATTCAAAATCAGCAATTATGATGCCATCATGGTAATAACATAAACATCATACTTTAAAAGCATTTCTTTCATCTTACAAAGAAAAGGTTAGGAACTCACAAAAACAGTCAAACCAGCAGTGTTTTGTTTTGACTCATCCGAATTATGATCATCCTGAAAGAAAGTACAACAGTCAAACCCACCAAATATTGCTAAGATTGTTCCAACAAGAATCTTAACATTAGCGCTACAAAAATGCATGCAAACAAGAAATAAACCAAGGAAATAATTGATCAAGTCATATCTGTTAAAAGGAAAAATAGTCGATCAAAGTGAAATGATTTTGTACATTACTACAACTCATAAAATAAACAGCCAAAGTATCAATAAATTTCACTGCACCTAACATTTTGTGGTTTGTCCTGAGCATTGATGATGAAGTCATTGGCTAAGAAAAACATCATAATCAAACAACACAGATCAAAAAAAAGATCATATTCTACAGGCTCTGACTGATATTAAATGATTGGTAAACCTTAATATTTCACTGCATATGATATGAAATAACGAGTTGATCAGACCAGTTATAAAACAAAATACACTGAGGAAAGGGTTACGCATCTCCTGTTTCAAAATTCAAGATCTTGAATACTTCTTTAATAAGAAAACAATAAATATTAAACAATAGCTCGGGTCATAAAAACAGCATGCATTACACCTACCGACTAAAACCATATATCAAACATACCAAGAATTACAAAGTCACCATTGGCTAAGAAAAACCTCATAATCAAACAACATAGATCAAATGAGCTTACAAACCTGCCACGAAATATCAAGAAACTGAACATAATCAGAACAAGTAAAGCCAGAGACAGAAACCAGACTTGGTTGTGGAAAATGACAAAACTTTTGCCACCCATTTTGCTTGTAATTCCATCATTCTAAACACTATTGCCTGATCGTGTCAATGTCGATTTCTAGTTCAGAAACACTTAATACCCTCGGAAATACTAGATTCAAGTGGAATACAAAGGTTTACCTGTGACGTAGTCCCACAAAAGAAAGCCAGGGGGCTAGGTAAATACATGTTTATAAAGAGGTCCAACATGATATTCATTCACATTAACTACTCCATTTGATTTGAGAAACGGGTAACGGTATTTGTACCTGCAAGAGATTCTTTCCCACCTCAAGTATTGAAAAAATGTATTTGAATCATAAAGGACAAAATATTTCAGGAAATACCCAGTGCAATGAATAATGGCATCTGCATCAACAATTGATCCATCTTGGAATTCCACCATACCATCTTTATGTGCTCATTCAATCTGCAAGAAAACAGAAAGCCAGACTATTAAGAAAAGATGACCACCTTAAAAGTTAACTTTATAAACTAACTTAATTGATAGAATGACTAAGAAGCCATTGAATGCTGACAAAGATTATAATGTTTTTCCGATGATCGCCACTACCCGTCGTCAAATCATTGTAGCAATTGTGTTGAGTTGTATGGGTTGATGATACTGAAACTTCAAGAATCTGTTACTATGTGTGCCGAACCATGTAGATGACTGATATGGATTTAGTTCAAAATCAAATCATAATTCAAAACCAAAAATAGATGCTCGTGAGACCCCCTATAAATCACCTAGATTGCTTCAAACAAAAATTTCCTCAACACAAATAAAAAAAATCCAACAAGAATGGGTCCAAATATAACTCACAATTTGTTGACGAAGATTTTGCACCTATAAAAATCAAAGAAATCGTTATCAAACACTTATAACAAAGGAAATTAGAAAACCAAAACAACTGATTACTGATTTACATCCATCGGAGAGTATTATCCGACAAGGGCAATCTTAACTGTTCAAAATGAATAAAAATCGGCAGTGTTTTGTTTTGTTTTGAAAGAAAGTATAACAGTCAAACCCACCAAATATTGCTAAGATTGTTCCTACAAGAATCTTAACACTAGCGCTACAAAAATGCCTGCAAACAAGAAATAAACCAAAGAAATAATTTATCAAGTCATATCTGTTAAAAGGAAAAATAGTCAGCCAAAGTATCAATAAATATCACTGTACCTAACATTTTGTGGTTTGTCCTGAGCATTGATGATGAAGTCATTGGCAAAGAAAACATCATAATCAAACAACACAGATCAAATGAGCTTACAGTAATAAATAAGATCATATTCTACAGGCTCTGACTGACATTAAATGATTGGTAAACCTTAATATTTGAATGCATATGATATGAAATAATGAGTTGATCAGACCAGTTATAAAACAAAATACACTGAGGAAAGGGTTACACATCTCCCGTTTCAAAATTCAAGATCTTGAATACTTCTTTAATAAGAAAAAAAGAAATATTAAACAATAGTTCGGATCATAAAAACAGCATGCATTACACCTACCAACTAAAATCATATATCAAACATACCAATAATTACAAAGTCACCATTGGCTAATAAAAACCTCATAATCAAACAACATAGATCAAATGAGCTTACAAACCTGCCAAATATCAAGAAACTGAACATAATCAGAATAAGTAAAGCCAGAGACAGAAACCAGACTTGGCTGTGGAAAATGACAAAACTTTTGCCACCCATTTTGCTTGTAATTCCATCATTCTAAACGCTATTGCTTGATCGTGTCAATGTCGATTTCTAGTTCAGAAACACTTAATACCCTCGGAAATACTAGATTCAAGTGGAATACAAAGGTTTACCTGTGATGTAGTCCCACAAAATAAAGCCAGGGGGCTAGGCAAATACATGTTTATAAATAGGTCCAACATGATCTCCGTTCACATTAACTACTCCATTTGATTTGAGAAACGGGTAACGGTATTTGTACCTGCAAGAGATTCTTTCCCACCTCAAGTATTGAAAAAATGTATTTGAATCTAAAAGGACAAAATATTTCAGGAAATACCCGGTGCAATGAATAATGGCATCTGCATCAACAATTGATCTATCTTGGAATTCCACCTTACCATCTTTATGTGCTCATTCAATCTGCAGGAAAAAAATAAGCCAGACTATTAAGAAAAAAATGACCACCTTAAAAGTTAACTTTATAAACAAACTTAATTGATAGAATGACTAAGAAGCCGTTGAATGCTGGCAAAGATTATCATGTTTTTCCGATGATCGCCACTACCCGTCGTCAAGTCATTGTAGCAATTGTGTTGAGTTGTATGGGTTGATGATACTGAAACTTCAAGAATCTGTTACTATTTTTGCCGAACCATGTAGATGACTGATATGGATTTGGTTCAAAATCAAATCATAATTCAAAACCAAAAACAGATGCTCGTGAAACCACCTATAAATCACCTAGATTGCTTCAAACAAAATTTTGTCAACACAAATAAAAAAAATCCAGTGAAAACTTCAAGAAACAAGAACAATATCTTGGGAACTTGCATTGAAGTAAAGTTATCAAGAAAGACGAGAGGGAACTTATGAAAAATTAGAAGAAATCTTTTTCTTGATTTTATAGAGAATTATCATAAAGTTACCGTTATAAAGAAAAACGGTAATACTCTTGTTTCTGAAAAAACGAAGAGCTATCAAGAAAATTTCAAGAAACCCTAAATAAAAAAAAGCGGGACTTTTTTTTTAAAAAAAAAGGGTAAATTAATCAAGAAATAAGAAAACTAAATCAAAAACTTGTTCCAGTTATGCCCACAAGAAACAATAACAATACCTTGATAAAGTAATCAAGATAAAGAAGAAAAATAGAATGAGAGGGAATTTATGTGAAATAGAAAGAAATCTTTTTTCTGGATTTTATAGAGAATTATCCGAAAGTTACCGTTACAAATAAAACGGTTATACTCTTATTTCTGAAAACAGAGAGTAATCAAGAAAACTAAATTAAAAAAATCCGGGAACAATTTTTATTTACAAATAAAAGAATAAATTACACATTTAATATTTAAATTATCAATTTTGATCCGTTTTAGTGTGTCGGAACATAAATTTACCTTTGTAGACATTATCGAAAATAAATTAGTGCATTAAAATGAAAATACAAGTTAAGGTCAAGGCTAGTTTGTGAAATCCCTGCTCCGATCAATTTCGCATTATATTTCACAATTTATTAAATTATACATTGTTTACATTTTACCGAATAGGAAAAATAGATTTATTGAAATTATAATTAATTAAATAAATTTCAATATTTT